CTTGAAGTACTGGTTTTGTTAAAAACGTTAAAACCACAAGGTAGTTTCTGCAGCAAGAGAAAGCATAGATGAGCCGGCTGAGACACTGGGCATAAACTCTCCCTCATGCCCCATGCATCCTGGCAGTACATCTCTTCTCCACTTTCATGACCTCCTGCCTTGCAATGAACTCACAGCTCCTTGGGCACCTCCAGAAGAAAATCTTCCTTTCCCTCACCTCTGCCTGCACGTGTTCTCCTTCCAGTCTCCATCCTTGCTGAGCCTCCCCTTTCTGCCTGTGCCCCACAGCCACCCTCAGCCATTTTCTGCCCCGTGAGTTCCACATGTCTCTGAGGGCAGAGGTAGGGATTGGAGGCAGCTTGCTTCCCTCCCTGCTGCTCAGCCACAGCCTTTGTAACAAGATACTCGGTGCTTACACATACTCGCACGGGTAGCTCTCCACCAGCGCTCCTGTGGATGTGTGGGCTAGCCCCAGCAGCAGCTCTGCGAGCCAGCCACCTCAGTAGTCAGCCATCCCCACCACGAGACGTGCCACACCTCCAGTGCAGCTCTACTCCCTTGCTTTTGGGCTCCCCCAGCAAACCAAAAGATACACAGATTTGTGCTTTCCCCAGCATCACTGGCCTGTATCTCCTTAACACACCTGCCTTACGGAGGGGAGTGGGCCAAAGCAATGCTCCCCTTCTGAGGGTCCCTTGTGTCAGACTGAGTATAATCACCCCCTTTCCTTAAGCATAAGGGTTGTTAGAAGAAATATGGCCACAGCATTTCATGCACTGCCCTCTCAATTAGTCTTTGGGGGCGGGGGCTTGTCCAGTGGTGGAGACTACAGCAACCAGTGTAGAGGGGCCGTTGGGAAAAGCCATGGGAAAAAGGGAGATAAACCCAGAACATAAAAGCCAGAGCTGCTGCTGCATATGCAGAACACCACAAAAACGTGTTAACAGAGCAGTTGTACAGCAGGGTTTTCCCATCTCTGAGGCATATGGAAATTTCCTCAGTCTCTTCATCAGCGCACAAAGTTCTGACCCAGCCGCAGGGCTGCGATACAGCCAAAGCCACTCTGGCTTGGCAGGGTACCTCGCATCAAGGGGGCACTTAGCACCGGGCCTTTTCACTTGATTTGTCCAGTAAGACATTTGCAACCTCACCATTCCAAGATGCACCAAGGTTTTCAGCTATGATGTATTTTGAATAAATGCATAATATTAAGAAGATTCATTGATTCACACCATTAGAAGACATAAGAGTACGTAAAACTTTCTTCTATACAAAAAGAATACCTTGACTTTTAGGAGAGGTAAATCCTGCTGTCTTCCAATGCCAGTGTGTATCTGGCATATCACCACTGAAGACACAAGAAGTAAGAATGATGTTTTAAGGAATATTTAGAGACAGTTTCACCTTTTCCATGTATGGATCCATTGACATTTTTGCATAATTGAATAGTGCTGTTTGTTGGGCTTTTTTTTTTTTTAATTAAGGATAAAAATAAAATTTCTTAACAACTGTCTGGTGTGACAGGATTTCTCTGAAACAATACTGAGCTCTGCCATTGCAAGACTTCCATTGGGGGTGTTCAGCAACAGGAGGTGCCCTGAGAGGCTTCCCACCAGAGTAGAGGTATTATCTCAAAACACACATATTTAATCTTGAACATGTAAAAAAAAAAAAAAAAAATCAAATTGTTCTTGGAAATAGGCATATTCTGATCTGCAGTGCTCCACTAGCAGGGCTATACTTTTAACACAAACCTTCACAATTTCAGAGTTCTAACATCTTGTTTCATTGAGGGTTGGAATTATGCTTTCAAGCCTTACAGCTAAAGCACAAATTTCTCACAGTGCAGGGAAGCAGATGTGCTGTAAGTGCTGCTAGGGACTTCGCTGTGGTTTTATCACTGTCTTAGGGAGACAGGTTTGATTTTCTGAGCTGCCAGCCCCCAGAGCGACTCAGCAACTTTGACATGCACCTCTTCAGAGCCAGTTACAAGGCAGGTTGCACCACCTCGAACTGGCTTCATAAGAATCAAAAGTACCCCCCACTCCTTGCAGAAGACATGCAGGAACAGGCATAACCTGAATTACCTTTGGTACTTCCAACTTCAATTAATAACAATTCCCTAGTCTGGAACAAAAGCAACAGCTGAGGTCAGAATGGCCAGACCAGCGTGTTCAGGGAGATTTTGTCTTGATCTACAGCTGCTCAGAAAAACTTGTAAATCTGTTCCCACAGCTGAAAGTTGCTGCTTTGATTTGTTAGAGCAGCCCCCAGCCAACCCATTCCATGGGAATTGACTGCTAGTACATCTGACTGATGCCTTTAAAAGGCTCTGAGCAGCGAGTGACCCTAGGTTATTACAGACAGGCAACTTGTTTCTGTAAATTCTCCCCTAGGAGACAGATCAGAATATACTCATCCCGCTTATTTCTTCTTCATGTATTTGCTATGCATGTAAACTCAACCGATTTATAGTAGCAGTATCTGATCTACAGCAATTGTTATTTACAAGTTCTCCCATGTCTAGTGCAGGAAAGCCAAGTCTCTTGATTCACTGCTACATGAAGCATGTCTGTCCCTTGGAAAGGGAGAAGGCATGGTCAGAGCCCATGGGCTATTTCTCGGAAAGGGGTGAAAGGATCTCTGCTTTCTTCCCCAGGGAAGTTGGTGTGTTTCTCTAGAAGATGAACCACGAAAGAGAGTAGTACTGCAGGGAGCTAATCCATTATTTGTCTATGTGCCACTTGGAGAAGAAAATGAGAGGAAGGGAACAAAATTTAAAGACAAACAAGTTCTTTGTTCCTTCGAAGTGCGTGCTCCCTTAAAAACTGCTGTGCTTCTCAAAGGTAACAGCATCTGTATCATCATGATCCCCAGACTGTAAAGATTAGATGCAAGTGAGGCTGCATCTCCCCCTGTTTAAGTAGCTAGCTGAATCTGGACCCCAGAGAACAAGGGTATTATTTTTTCCCATATCACAAGCTAGTAAGAGTGCTTCTGTGGGAAAATGCATGCTACTGCATGTAACGCCCAGTGAAAATTTTCCCAAATCTACACAACACACAGAGCTTATGCTCTCCTTGACACAAGGGGGGGTGCCTAATGATGCTAAAAGACAAACACACCCCCCCCCCAACATTACAGAATAAACAGGGAGATACTCACACTGGTGTTTGAAGGAACACTGCCACAGAGAACCCCATCACTGAAGGGGTTACCAAAAAACAAAAAACAAAAAACAAACCCAAAGTCATCAAGAAGTCAGTTACTTGTCAGGCTAGGAGCTGGCTTATGAAACAAAAGCAGTAAACCACAAGCTGTGCAGAACTTGAGAACCACATCTGAAGACACACTGCCCTTTTCTCCCGAAGAGCAGCAGTGGCAAACCGTTCGCAGCAGAGAGCACGTGATCCTCAGGCACACTGCAATACTGCGCTGCTGCTTTAATACTGCCCTGCAGCAACTCCCATTTTACAGTCGATTAAAGGCAGATTCTACATATTAGATGATCGTGGACCCCACCCAATTAGGTCTGACTGATGAAATCTAGGGACCAGTATTTGGAAGCCATGGATCAGCAGGTTGTCTTTAAGAATAAAAGGAAATTAGGAAGGAAAAATTTCTGAAGACCACAGTCCCGGGACTGGCAAATACTCCAGCTGTATCAGAGAAACTGATCCACAAAGCCTGCCTCACGATATTCTTGGATAAAGGACTGCTCACATGCGGTGCACTAGAAGCAAACAGAAATGAGTGCCAACTCACCTGACCTGCGTATATTCTACAAATTGGAAGCTGATAAATTCTACTTATCCGTGTCCATCCTCAGCTCTGCTGCCGCTGAAAACACCACTGCATGACACTGACAGCACTGCAAATCAGTTACTATTCCCCAGAATCCTTCGTGACCCCCAAAAGTGGTTTCTCCATCAACTCTGCCCATTTTCATTTGGTAAACAGCGACATTTCCCCTGCTTTACAACTGAAGCTAAAAATAGCCTCTTCCATTTCATAACTTTACAAACTTCATCAGAAATATATTTTATGCAGCAGCACAAGCACTGGGAACAAGCTGGGGTTATGAATAGCTGTGAAGAACCAACAGAGGATCAAAGTAAATTAGGCATCGAAAGAACCATCTCTCATTCTTCAGGAGGGGACTATGCTTTGAACAGATTACAAAATACCACAAACTGGAAACAAACACATCCTCTTTAAAAAACACATTTCCAAGAAAGCAATTAAAAACACTATTCATAGCTTTTTTTTTTTTAACTCAGTTTATTGAATGAAATGAAACAAAACATAGACAAACACAAAAAAAGTAAGATCTGCATTCCTCACGTCTCATCTGTGAGGCAGTCCTTTAGAACGAACGGCAAGGAGCTCCTCCAAGTACAAAGGCCAAAAGAGACCACAGTGCCACAATACCAGAGACTCTAAAGGGTAAGAATAATAAATGCTGTTAGACTACTTACATTTAGGGCTTAATTTTGTTCTTATTAAGCACTGAGATTCTTTTCCAAACCATGTCAGACCAGAAATTCACCCTTCATGAGCATCGCTGTCACCGCCTCACAAGAGGGGTGCGCTGTGAATCCGGAATTCTGTCCTACTACTGAGCTTTTGACTCTGCTGTAGAGAAAACACATCCACTCAAGATGCTGCCTCTCTTTGAGCTTATTAGAGCTAGCGCTACAGCTCATCAAGATAACCCTCTCTCCGCTATGATAGCACATGATCGTTTTGTGCTATCCATGCTGTAACATTCCCTGGTTAATCAGGATCAAGACTAAAGTCCATCTGCCCAGGGCTGAAAGCTCAGAAGCAGCCACCCAGCCGTCGCCAAGCAAACCCACTTCCGAACCCCTTGTTCTCCTGAAGGGCTGGCAGAAGAACATCGCAGAGGGGCGGCAGCCCGCTGCTGTGGCAGGGCCGGGCACCCCGAAAGGAACGCTTTCCCCCCTGCCCGCTGCTGTGCTTCCCGTCACTCACTGCAGCAGGCAGCTCACGGGCGGAGAGTCCCTCCAGTGGCGATAGACGGACACCCGCAGGTGAGGGTGATGCCTGTAGTCTCGCAGAACGCGCCTGACGCTGCAATGGAAGCAGATGCCATGAGCTGAGGCTTGCAGGCTGCTCGCAGCACCCCACAGCTCAGGACACGAATCTCTTTATCTAATAGTTGTCACAGCAGGGGGAGGGTGGATCAGAGAGGATCAAGGGACCACAAAATTAAGACTTTCCAGCCACTTACTGCTTAAATTTATTGGAGAGCAGAATGAACTGGTTCTTTGAAAGCTGTCTGACATCAAAGCGACAAAGAGCTTTAAACTCTTGGTAAATCTGCCTTTCATTCAGCCCTGGCCAGCCATGGACATGGACAACCAAGAGAGGGGGATATTGGCAGGGAGCATCTTCTCCACAGAAATTCTGGAAAACGTACAGTACTGAGATATACCTGAGTTCAGAAATACTACAGAAACACTACTAATATAATCAGAAAATATGCAAAACGTGACACAAATAAAACAAGTTGTACAACGCAGCTGTTGGTGTAAAATTATTTTCTTTTGTCCTAAGGTTCTTCTAAACACGAGTCATAAAAGCCAACTGTCCCAATTACCATGGAGAGACAACCAGAGAAACAGCAAGCTCTCTTACAGAGCAGGATTAGGGCAACGTAAATTGACTAATGCCATCTTACAGGATAACAATATTAAAACACTTCACAAGGCAGAAATTCAACTCATTTGCCATTTTGAAAGGTCAACTGTGCCATTTGTGTGACAGCAACTTGGCGGGCCCAGGCACTGGCAGAGTCTTGTCCTCTAGTGAAGCCGTCAACTAGGCTACTGACCTACGCACCCCACAAACTGGTCACAGACCTGCAATTCATACGCACAATGCTTGAAACACCACCTCGGATGAAATTCACTTTGTTCAGACACTCGGCTAACACGCTGAGATATTGAGAGAAAGAAGGATCAGCCTCCACTGCATCACTACATCAGAAAACAAAATGGAAGAAAGTTGTGTTTCTCCAGTGCTGCACTGCTCCACAGTGTCTCTGGAGCACAGAGCTCCTGCAGGAGCTCTTCAAATAGCGACAAAATAGGTATTTCAGATCTTGGGATTTTCTACAAGAAGTCAAAAAGCTGCCAGCAAAGGGAAGGGATCTGAACAGTTGCCTCTTAGGAACTTAACTGAAGGCACTGAATCACACAGATTTCAAAAATGGAAACTAATGGAAAATTATTTGACCCTTACTCAAGTGCACTGAACTTGAGAGAGCTTGTTCAAGGATAAAAGAGTCACAATGCCATTTCCCAACCTCTGAGCCATCGCATGGCCCCTGATTTCATTTTTTAAATGTCAGCTTTGACATAAAGCTACTACTTTCAGATTTATAAAATAAAAATCTAATTAGAAGTGACATTTCCAATAACACTTTCTCTTATCCAAAAGGAAGGCCAGCCTGTAAAATGAAAAGTCAGCCAGAACGAGCTGACAACCATTTTCCGTAGGGCCCATCCACGTAATGCAAATTTCAGTAAACATCTAAACATCACTCACTCTGTGGATCTGCACAGTAGCAAATGAGCTGACTTCAGAAGAACTAGAAGGAGGAATAATGAGGTGGCATTAGAACAAAGCTAAAGAAACATAACTAAGCAAATGTAAAGCAAAACCTCACTAAAGTGCAGCTAAGTTACTAAGAGCAACAGACTGCATATAAACAAGTATTTCTTAGCATCTTAGAGCAGGAAAGGAATTGCCAAGTCCTAATACAAACTCTGAAGAAGTGTTTAAGAAACATTTTACCTGAACCACAGAGAAATGCATCATAGCCTGCCTCGTGAGGAGATTTCTTCTCAGCTGTACGTGTCCGACAAAACCAAAAAGGAGTAACACCTTTAGCACACTACGGGAACTGCCCCACTGCAGAATCCTAAGATTTGTAAGATCCACTGTTCTGTTTTGGAGGTTTTTCCCCCCACACCCTCAGTTCCATTTCCTCCCTCACCCCGAAACCTTTACATCCCATAGAAAGTCTATGCTTCTACCATGCATTTTAAAACGATACCAACACAAAGGCAGCAATTACACGAATGGCTGAAAAGCTTAGCGAGATGCACATTAAAAAAATTCTAACTTTCATGAAGATCTAAACCAAATTGTGTTGTATACGTTACTGACGGTATGGGAACCATTTCAAAACGCAGGAGGCTCTGCGCTGCAGGACACCATGCTGCCAGGAGAAGCCAGGGAACACCTGCCTCGCAGCCCATATCACACCACGTACCGAACACGCCCTCCGGCACACACAGCACCACTAACCCAGCACATGAGCCACTGAGCTCCTGCTACTTTCTGGGACCTCCCTGCCATTAGTCCCCACCCACTATTTTCCACTCTAGGATCACTGTTTCCCACCTCCCCTTGCCCCTTCCAAGGCCCACCAACTCTTCACAGTCCCAACCTGGGCTCAGTTCAGCCCAAGTTAGAGCAAAATGCCGTTTGTGCTAGCTGCACGATGCAAAACTGCCCTGCGTTACCCTTGGCAGCTACCAGGGACATGCAGAACACATGTTATTTTGGGAGCTCAGGCTTTGGGTCTGGGCAGAAATGTGTATCAGCAGCTCAGTGCCAATTCAGCAGACCCACTGGCACTCACTCATGCTTTGCACGTGGACATCCACACAGTAAATCAAAACCCTTTTAACTACTAGACTTTGAACATTTGCTTAAGAACATACCATATCTTGAGCAATCACTTGCAAGAGCTATCACTGGGCATGCTGGATCTTCGGGATATTGGTTGCTGCTGAAAACAAGTGGATGCGTAAGATTTTTGTCTTTTGTCATTACATTAGAGATGTTAGATAATGTTCTTTAGTGACCTGTGGCTTCATTTCAGAAAAAGCTACTGAGGACTTTAAAATGAAGTTTGGTAGTAATCCGTGAAAAGGCTAAGATACTTAGTTAAGTAATATCTACCAGTTTTCTTCCTGAAAACTAACTCCTAAATACTTCTTCAGTCTCTTCCCACAATCAAACCTTCTAAGCAGCAGGTCTGCTCTAATTGCATACAAAAAAAAAATGTGAACAGAACTAAAAATCAATGGAAAACTCCAAGGAAAGGAGTTGACTAGATGGTTCTATTTGCATAGGGAACTCTGGAGGACAGATTAATAAACAGATAGCCATGGAATGACTGAAATAAAAGAAAGTACAAACAAGCATAAAAATTCCTAAGAATCTGCAGTCTGAAATTGCTAAAACAAAAAACCCCTAGAATCCCAGTACTGTTTTTATAAGCACTAATGTTGCATCTCCTTCTTGGGAGTAGGGGGTGACAGGAAAGAGGCGAAATTTTCCTTTTCTTAGCAAAATTGACATGAATACAATTTATCCACAAAAGAAGTGTAAAAAAGAGAGAAAAAGAGAGAACTCTTCTACCACATCAATGCTAACTTCATGAGATACTGTATCTACTCACGTGCTTGATTTGAACACTGTATTTAGTTACTGCTTTGGGCTCAGTGCAGCTCTTTCTTGGGAGCCGCCATTTGAAATTAGGGTGTAGTTTCACCGGGAACTGAAACTCATTCATTTCATAACATGACATAAGCAACACACAACTCTAGAGTTGTATGTAAAACCGTCGGCAAGCCAAACTTGTGACCAATGAAGTAATGGTAGTACAATACAAGAAGTGACTTAGAACAAATAATTACTGCACAATTACTTTGTAAGAAAGACAAGCAAATCTTTTGCTCTTAAATTTAGAAAGACAAGAAACCAGCTGAGGAACATCTGGGAGAAGGAAAGGTATGAACATGTGAAATGACTGACTTTGAAATATCTTTCCCGAGAAAACAAAAGGATTGCTGAAGGCTTTATAGACCACCACTTACCTGCACAAAACCGCATACACCTCCAAAAGATTAGATACTCGAGGAAATGGACATTTCTATAAAAGAAGAACACATCAGAAACCCAACCAAGACAGACCTTGTGGTAAGTGAGATCATTTACTGGTACTGCTGATTCATTAAATGAGATCTACAATCAGAATGTCTCAGGACAACACTGAGAACTGGTCACAGTTCCGTAACCACAGGGCACTGAGGAAAGATATCCTCTCTTTTGGGTGAAAGACAAGCTTTAACTCCAAACAAAAAGACCTCTGCATCTCACCTTCCAGAGGGATTTTGTTACAGTCTTGGTGTCTATGAGGACAGGAAACAGGTTGTGAATGTTCCTTTTAAACTCCTCATAGCTTTCTGAAAGCAAAACATACGTGGAGAAAGACATCGTAAACCTGAGGAAAAGCCAACTGTATTTCAAATGAGTACGAAAGAGAGGTGAAGTCAGAGGAACTATGCACTGCTCCAGCAGCTAAGAGCTCAGAAGAGGCAACTAGCACTGCTGCTTGCTAAGCACTGTGGGTGGCTGGGGTGGCGAATGACCACTGTGCTTACTGTCCCATCCCCATTGCAAAGGCAGCAGCCTGGGGACAGCAGCTACGTACAGCATTACCTGGAAGGGGCTTGTAGAACTTGTCGTGAAGATGCATAAGGTCCATAAGCATGTTATGTCCCACCAGGGGCTACAGGAAAAACATAAACACAACAGCCCATTGGAGCATATTTTTGAAGAGAGCTCAGGGATAACCAACTTTAGGCATGCTCAACAGCTGTAATCCTTTCCTCTGGTGGACAGCATCCACACAGGCTCATCCAAAAGACATTCAGGCTGCAAAGCTCACAGGAGGACCACTGCTTTCAAGAAATCAGACTTGTGAACTCTCTGAGGAGGGTGTTTTTTCAGCAGCATTCTAGTTTGAGTGGACCTAAGGAGCTAGGTAGATTCAGCTGAACACTGGCAAGATCTTCCAGTGATCAGATTTATAGGCTCACTCACAAGATGAGGTGCCTGCACATCACCCATAGTCTTCTGAAGCTGAAATTCATTCAGTAATCTGGATACAGAACATAAGACTTTCCACACATAATCAGACCAATGGTCCACGTGGTCCAGTAAACTGGTCTGTCAAATGCTGAAAAGCCTAACTTGCCCAAAAGGCAAGAATCTGCTCAGCTTTCTTAGATGGTCACTCACGTGGCATAACACAAGGATTTTCAACATTGCAGACTCCTGCATTTTCTCAAGTGACATACGAAACACATTGCAGAATGGGTTCTGGCTCCCTCTCCCCTGGCTGCACTTGGTTTGCAGAAATCACAGAAAAGCAACACAGGGAAATCTAATGTTTGGATCCAGAATTCTGAGCATGCTTTGGGAGGGGGATCAGGTCAGTAAGAAGACGCAGTGTTTAACACTCATTTTTTCTCATTGTGACTGCAGTCTAAGAGTACACCTCAGTTTTACTGACAACTAAACAGGATGATCACACTGAATGAGTTATTTAATACAAATTACTACTTTATCTTTTATCATCCCTCTACATCCAGTGTAGCCAATCAAAAAGAGATAAACAATGAGAGTAGGGATGAGGCATTTTACCTTCTTGGCTTTAACAAGTGTCTGGAAGAGGTTGGTGAAGCCCCGGGCAGACAGAAGAATAAGCTCCTTCTGGCAGCAGTCGTAACGAGAGTTCTCCAGAAGCTGACGATGCTGTGGACTCACTTTTTTCACCATTACCTGAAACGAACAGTCATTGGGTATCTCAGCCTCCCACGCTAGTTGTACGTACGTTGCTTACTGGGGTTCAGTAACGCTGAGGACAAGTTCAGCTTCTAGGCTATGAAGGATGGAGAAACTGCATTCCCTGGGACCCCAGGACTGCCTTCTCATTTCTTGTCCATATGGAGATCAGTGCTCCAGTAACGGAACAGGCAGCTGCTCTAAGGGTGTCTTACTAATTCTTCTCTTGTTAAGAGGATGGATCCTACAACATTTTTTTTTGGAGCACTAATGAAGTTAATTCAATTTAACTTGACACCAACATGGTAAGTTTATGGCACTGAAAAACAGAAGCAAACAGCAATCACGCAAACTGAGTCCCCAAAGGTGAGAAGGCTGGGTAAACCTGTCACTCTGCTGACACTGGTTATCAGACCAAAATAGTACCAATGGAGGGAAAAAAACAAAACCACCACCAACAAAAAACCTTCTGTAATGTACTTCTAAGCAACTAGTATCATAGCCATACCATGGTTTGAGAAGTCCACACCCATAGGTTTAATTCAGAAAATACCGCACCAAATGTAAAACAGCAACAGCAAACAGCAAGCCATATAACAGAGTAAAAGTCTTCAAAGCAACTACATGGCAAAAGTCAGCAAAGGAAAACCACAAAAAAGGCTAAAACCTGTACATTCTTGTGGAGTTACTGAAGGAGAGATCTAACAAAGTCTGGAGACACGGAGACGGTCTCTCCAGAAATGCCCCAAGGACAAGGACTTCCAGCTCAAGGTATTTTGTGGCTACAGGACAAACAGAAACCAAAGTTACTCAGGTCTTCTGGATCGCTTTTCTTGGAATCCCACAAGCAACACTTCCTAGAACATTCCTTTGTCACGGTCTTCTCCTCCTCCTAGACCCTATCACTAAAAGTATAGGTAACATTTCAGAGTCCATGCAAGAATGCCAGTCCTATCTGTCTAGATAGAAACCCTCTTTTCAAAAGGTCCCCATTTCCATCTCACCTCCTTGTCTCCAAGAGGCTGTGTCCAAACATTTTGGAGAGCCTGTCTCAGAACCAGCTGAACTTCAAACATCTGATAGCCTGAGAAAATAAAATAAAAACTTCAGAGGTGCAGACAAGCCTATTTAGGAAAACACATTTTTCTAGACAGAAGGACTGACAAGATGTTTCTCCCCCAGTGTAAAGAAAATATTCCTGAATCTATGATCTTGGTACATTACCATACACAATGGCAAGAAAAAAAACAAAACAAAACCATACCAAAACCAAACCCAAAAAATAGACCACACTGAGATTTCAGGCAAATAACATCTTGTGAGGACACAGAGGAAAGGAAAAGACTAACTGAAAAGAAGAGGGAGGAAGGGTACCGCTCTGAAAAAGACTGTGGTTTTGGAAGGTTTCAGAGCAACACACCCAGAAGCCAAACGTACATGAGAGGCACCAATCAATGCATTTTCCCCCACAGCTGATAAGGAACCAACCCAGTCCTCTTCTGAACAGCATTCAAAAAGACACCTTAATCAGCGGTATTACTTCCTTAAATAAATGTATGTCTTGTCACAGGTGCTCACCGTTGCCAAACCCTACTAAAATATCAGTAACACATGTACTGCAGCTGACACAGCAGATACAGGGGGTGGGGAGTTCACTGTGTTTTGTATTTCACATGCTGCAAAAAAGCCTCAATAGACAAAGCCTTAAACACTTTCTGTCCTTCCCCATTTTTTTAAATTTTATTCCCTGACTTAGAGGATTAAGATTTGGTTTCTATGACCAAACTTACAAACTGTTCTCTGCTACAATTCCCTGTCCCTCAACTCCTTCAAAACAGCACAGAAATTCCTCAGCTCTGCTATAGTGCTCCCAAAAGCTAACACACGTGGTAAGTGGCCTGTTTATCCCCACCGGCATATATTTGTGTCTCCATGGGGCTCCTTGTTCCTCCACATGAGAGGGAACAAACTCTGAAATGGCGCCTGCCTTTCCCTTCCCCAAGCAGAAGAAAACAAACAAAAACCAGATCACCCAGGATTTAAAACAAGTCAAAAGTTGTTCTGAGCCAGAGCAACTACAAATTCTCCAGTTACTGCTCTGAAGCAGCACAAAATGGAAGTCTGTTACTAGAAGTACGTAGACATCTACTTCCACTACAGAAAGACCCACCACCCCAATGGAGCAGAAAAGCAGAGCCCAGAGATGAATGCTGGACAGGAACTGAGGCGCAGACAGGGGCAAAGAGTTACCAAGGCAGGATGGGCACAGGCGCTCTTCCTCTCAACAGAGCACTTTAACGGAACAGGCAGCAAAGGACAGCAGCAGCCCCAGAGGTTCAGAAGCGATGAAGCCACTCAGAGCCCGCAGGGGCCTAAAGGGAGGCTCCCTGTTTCATACCACTCAGATCCTGCAGAATCATAGTCTCCTCTTCCCCTGCTGAAGCTATCCAACAGGTCACTTCGTCAATAGCCTTCTTCAGCACATCCCTGTCCAGGGCACTAAAGCAGGATCAAGGGGAAAGAGGCAGCTTGTGAGAAAAAACTCTTCACAGATGGAGCCTTGTGCCTGGCTCTGGGAACGCAAAAGCATAAATTTCTCAACATCCACCCAATTCTCCAGATCGTATCCCGACATCTCAGTCTTCCTTCAGGCAGACGGCAGCATGCTGGACCAGCTGGTGGTGAGGCATTCAGACCAACAGGCTTTAATATTTCTGCAAAATGTGGTCTGAGTGAAGGCGAGTGGTCAATGCAGCCAGTACTGAGGGATCCACGTCTCTGAACAGCGCTCACCTGTTGACTTTCCAGCTGCCCGCTAAGAGATGCTGGCTAAGGATCTTCTCCTGTACCTCATTCATGTATGGGATTCCATCTTTGAGGAACTGAGAGGGGAAAAAAAATGCCAGGTTGGTTACTCTCCCCTCAACTTTCTTGCTGCAAATCAGAGGACAGAGGTTAGCCAGGTCCCAATCCAGTATATACTTGGAAGATGCTCGTGTTCCTCATTCTCAGACTATCCTCTTCAAAAAAAATCAAACTGTAGGTAATCCAAGATGCATTCTTACGTAAAGGAAGGGGTGTTTACGTGTAGAGGAAAGACAAGGATTTTTGCCAACAGTAATCAATTTCTTTTTCTTTGCTTTTACCTTTCCTTTAATGAGATACTTCAAGCGTCAAGATATCACGATGCATGCTGTCCAAAATTGCTAAACAGTGCTCTTATGTGATGACACAGTCTGAATTTTACAGGAAATCTGGCAATAGGCAAGATGCAGGAAAAATGAGACTTCCCCACCTTCAGGGCTCATAAAGCCTCCCATTGAGGTCAGTTTAGTAACCCCTCTTCTCAGCTCACCAGAGACAGGTGTTCTTTTTTTTGAGGTGAGGAAATCTGTCTTAGGCTGACAAAGATGTGGTCGTTACCTCTACGGCAGTTCAGTAAAACCAGCACCCAGTCTCCCTGTTGATAACAAACCACCTGATGCATTCCCTTTAGCAAGATGCTATTTCCACCAGAAATGTAGCACTTAGGGATACTAATCCTAATTTCTCCTGTAATTGCACAACTTCCTCTGTTCTAGATTTCTGGCAGAGAGATTACATACCTTATTATAGTCAAAGCCATAATGAGACAGGAACCGAATGCTAGATGCAGAGAGGGTGAATTCGACATCTGTAACTCCAAATGACGGAAAGAGAAAAAAGTTGTATGAATGCACCACGTACCTACAATGAAAAGAAAAATCTCTCTAGAAGATAAGTACAAGAAGTAACTCCTCCCAAGAGAATTCTGCATAAAATCTCAACTGCACTGTCTTCATTATAACACAAAACCAGTTTTTTACTTACTTGTTTGAACTTTCATTTGAGAACATTGCCAGCCCTGCAAAAGAGAAACCTCCGTTGAAACGGCAACGTTTAGCTGGATGTCTACAGATACCGTGAAGACTAGGTAAGGGATGTGGGGCTCCCCTGCCGGACTACGTGTTTTCCATTCACTAATGCCACAGACACTGCCAGGCCACCCCCCAGCTCCCTGGGAGCTGAACAGGGACAAGCCTTTAGCGTTAAGTGGGAAAAGGAGTCGAGTCTGATTAAACAGCGAATGGATTGAGCAGTGGGTGAGAAGAGGCGAGTTGGTGACAAAAATCTCCAAGTAGGCATGCACGGGCCTGGAGGTCCAACTACACTGCAAAAGCATCTGGAAGGAGCTAGGCACCACAGAGGACTAGAACATATATGTTACTACTTAGTACTTTTTTTTCTATTAAGCCCTAAAAAGCACATTAAGATCTTAGATCACCTAAGTCTTTGAACAATGTTTTAAGCAGTCTTGGAGCTGGGCTCTTGACCCCTAACTGGTAACTGTCAATAGCCCTCCACCACCACCACCGGCCCTTTCTGGCATTGATTTTTCATTATTTTAGGAATATCAGAAATACTAGCCTTCATTTTCCTCTCTGACAGTCCCCTTACTCATACACTGTATCAGATGACACAATCTTGAATGGAAGGTGCTGTCACCTACTTCTCGCTTGCATCCTGTTTTAAAAGCCCTCTATTTGTACCTTCAAGCTTGAAATATAAACAGCTTTAGACCAGCAAAAAGTCAGGTGGGCCATATACTGTCATTTAAAATATTAAAAAGCTGGTAGCATTAAACTTCAGAGAGAAAAGAAAACTTACCACAGCAAACAAACAGCTCTGTAACGAGCGAATTCAGACCAGAGCTACCTGCAGGGCTCACCAGCTGACCAAAGGCCAGTTACTGCTGGGACCCTGGGAGATTCTTTTCTGTGTCAGAGCAGCACTTACCAAGCTGAGTGACAGTGAAGCGCTGAACGCTCTGCCTGGCCTTCAGGTACCGCTCCACCGGGGAATCAAACAGGCTATGAACAAAACCAGAATTGGGGGAAGGGGAGTAGACACGAGGAGGTTTGCAACGCACAGGTTGTTCTCTCAGCGCTGGAGCAACAAGCCTCCCTCACATTCCAAGTCCAACAACTTTACCTGGGCTCGCTATTTTGTGGGAAAGTTGAATGTAAGCCAGTAAACTCCATATCGAGGGCTGTTCAGGGGGAAAGAACACGCAAAAAAAAAAAAAAAATCTTAAATATGAGGCATGCATTCCACCAGCCGCAGGACAAGGATCTCTGAACACCCTTCTTCACCATAACCTGTGTGCCAAACCCACGGGCCGCAACCTCAAGAGGCAACCGGGCGCCGCGGCAGCGGAGTCTCCTACTGCCTCATCCCCGGGGCAGGATGAGGAAAGGGAAACATCCCCCGGGAAGGGTCCCCC